TACATACATACATACATGTATACGAATATGTAGATGCTGCATACATGTTTATGTGTTTATGCAGCCATACATACAGATGGGTGAAAACAGCAGAATAGACAGCTAGGTTAGAATACAACATGATGGCAGAGATACTGTGCATGACTAGGTTTCGCTCTGTCGGTACATGCATGTGACGTGTGCTATATACATATAACAATACATAGCATGACGTACATGTAACCCTGTTTGTATGTTTTTTCGTGATACAAGGTAAGAATATTTGGTGTATCAGCGGATTGAACTCATAGAACACTGGCTCACCAGGTTCGTTGGAAAATGTAATAAGCATGGTGGTGGGGACATCAGGTTTCGCTTGATGTGTGTTTGTGAGAGATTCGTGTACGCTTGTGTACTCGAGTTGCTTCGCATCGGATCTTCGCATACGATCCTAGGGGGGGTTTCTGAAAATAGGGGACCCTAATATAGTACCCTAAGAAATAGGGTCCTTAATATAAGGACCCCCATATGTATGTATATATATATATATGATATTATATGTATATGATATATTATATATATATATATACACATATGACATTATATATATATATATATTATATACAAAGCCTCGCAAGAGCAACAAGGGTTCTTCGGACCACGGAGCTCGACAACTTGGTTTCTGTATAGTAAGGCGCCATACGCCCCCCCCCCACCCACCCCACGCCCCCTCGCATCTTGCTGGGTTCTTGGGCGTTCCTGCCCCGCTGAGTTGTTGATTCACGGGAGGCACCTTTCATGGGAATAACACTGGAGGCCCGAGCTCAGAAATCCTAAACTTTTTAAAGCTCTAGATCGTCAAAACACACTGCAACAGCCTCAACCCCACTTCCCGGACTCCAGCGAGCTGCTTCAGACCTTCGAGCAATGCTCTGACTACAGCTGGTATTGATATTACTGCTGCTACTACCGCAACTGTTACTGGGCCTCTTGTAGCTGCTGCTGCTCCTACTGTGAGCCCTAAACCCTAAACCCTAAACCCTGAGTCCATCGCAACTGTTGGCAGTGGTGGCAGTGATCGTAACAAACATTAAACCCGAAACAGTAGACCACCACCTGGCCGTGAAAGGTCCAAAAGGCCTCATGTCATCTTTGGAGGCAGCCGAGATTTGTCACTTCTGGATGGGAAGATTGCGCAGGAGTTTAGGGTTTAGGTTTGGGGGAAAGCTTTGCGTGGGCCCTGTGGGTGTGCTGCCCAGTTTTGAATCCTCTGAATCCCGGAACCTCTCATCATGTTTATGAGCCTGGGCAGCCATAAAATTTAACTCGAGTCACCGACAGCCTAAGTCTGCAACGCCTAGCACGCTCTAGTGAGGGGGATCTGCTGCAATGTATGGCGATGACGAGGGAGCGGCCCCGGAGCATCGTTCCGAATTCTCTCATTGGACTCTTTTGCCTGGTAGTGATAATCAGGTGGGCTTGCGTGGGCCGCAGCCGCACGCTTGAGGTTCTTCTGAGCCAATGCCGATCGACCGTTTCCTTACATGAGACCCCTGATCAGGCCTGTCACCCCTACCCTAAACCCTAAACCCTAAACCCTAAACCCTAAACCCTAAACCCTAAACCCTAAACCCTAAACCCTAAACCCTAAACCCTGAAAGCCCCAAAGCCCAACATCCTGGGACCCCTGAGCCGAAAACCACCAAAAACTCACCGAAAGCCCCACAGCCCCCGGCCTAAAACCCAAAGCCCCCAAGCCATGCAAGCCCTGAAAACCGATGCTGATGCAGAATGGGCGCAGCGACGACGAGCTTGAGCAGCTGGTTGCCAAGGTGAGGCGCCCCAGGCTTGTGAGTTTTGGCTTGGAGATACAGGAGTTGGCATCAGGGTCTACAGATCTCAGCCGTGGGTTTTGGGCCTTGAGGGTGCTCAAGTCCTAAACGCTCCGCTTGAAAACTAGGGGCAGCCGGAGCTGCACATTGTCAGTTTTCGGCATCTGGTGCAAAGCATGAAGGAGCGGTTCTGCTGCAAAAAAGCAGAGGCCACAACAGTTTCAGATACCAAGTGCTGGGTTGCAAAAGCACGTTACAGTCTTGGAAAGATATTAGGTGCGAACAGCACCACTTCGACTCGACTTCCAGGATGTCTTGATACAGCCCACACTGCCACCGGATTGATTTCGTTGCTTGCTCTTCAGTCAGTTCCTAAGCTCGAAACACATGTTGGTTGTGCTTGGATCCTCGTGACGGAGAACTGGGTGAAGTGTTGGTTGAGAGGGCCGATTTGTGAAGCGACATGACGGTTCACTGATTTATGAGGATCATGAGCTCCCTCTACCGATGTCTCAGCAAGGATAAGCCTGTTACCGGAATGAGATTGGTTACGGCCAGTCGAGTTTGAACAGATTAGTGTTGCGTCAGCTCTGTTTGGTGTTGCTTGCTGCTGGGATGCCGGTGTCGATGTGCAGTTGCAGGAAAGTGATATGATGACTCTATGGCGCTCCGACACTTTCAGCTGCTGAGACACCCTTCTTAACCACCTTCGGGGTGAACCGGTGGTTGAGAGGGCCGATTCCACAGCCTGTGATGCATCGCCATGGGCTGACACAGGACAAAGTAGCCTTGCATGTTGTCGGCATGGAGTGAAGTGGGTTGCGAGGATCATGA